AAAAAAAAAAAAAAAAAAAAAAAAAAAAAAAAAAAAAAAAAAATTTTCACAGCCAATTTATGAAGTTTTTGAAGAGAATTCTATCAGCAACCAAACAATACATTTTCATGCTATCAAGCTTTTTAATTTCAGTAGCAGGTAGGCCAAAGAGGATGAATGAAAATAAAAAATCATAATTTGTTAATAGTCCTTACGGATTCGTACGACAGTCCAACTGTCAATGCTGTACCCAAAACAGAAGAATGTGATAAAGTGGACATGTGGATGTGATGGGCCATCCAGATCTGGTGGGCCATCCTATGTAATGTAAAAAGAGACTCTCAATGAAAAATATTGCTGTGTTTAAAACATTAATAATAGTAAAAATTTGAATGCTTACTACATGTCAGTTACTGTTTCTAATTTAATTATTATAACATTCCTTCCCTTATCCTAAAACACTCTTCCCTGAAGATCAGATATTCATTTGAAGACCATGTGCTTCCAGGGAAGCTGACTTTACCCCACAGCTCCAAGGACAGAGCACATTACCTGGGACAGGACAGTCAGTGTATTCCACCCACCCACATGGTTCAAGGGTGGGATATGGCAGTCCAGTCAGGGTGAGGCTAAGCTAGTTGCGCAGAATAAATCCTAGGTCTCATGGTGAGAACTCTGGGTTAAAACCACCTTGAAATGAGTGTTGTGTTATATGTAACACAAGGAGTTTCAACTACTATGGTAATACTGTCATCCCCATTTTGCAGATGGGAAAACTGCAGGCCAAAGAGGCCAAATTCTAGCTAGGATTTAAACTAGGGCTATCTGCATCTTCTTTGCCATTAAGCTGCCCTGTGCTAAGAAAATTGGCCATACTGTTTTTTAAAAAAAGATAAAGTAACATGTGTTCATTGTATCAGATAAGCTTTAGAAAAGTCCTAAGACCACATTTTACAAACGCAATTATTTTAAATGCACTGAGGAAACACAACCAAGAGAACCCTTAAAAAAACTCTATAAAATAAAAGCCTATCATTTTATACATAAATTTAGATTTTTATATATTAGGCTTTCTTAAAGAAGGCATTAGTTTTATTTATAGACTCTAATTATTCATTTAAAAATATTCACTGAAGGTAGCTGGCAAAACAGTCCACAACCCGGTATCACCATCTCCATTTTACACATTTGGAACTGAGAATTAGGGAGCTTAAGAACTTTCCCCAAGGTCCCACAGATATAAGCAGTAGATCCAGGATTCACACCCATGTCCACCAAAAGATTGTGATCTCAACCACTCATAGAGCCTCCCTATGCAGTAATTTGTATTCCAACAACACAAAATGCAAACATCCAAACAATTACCTTTTCAGAATCTATAAAGTGTGTAGCAATTCCTGCTCTGTACACATCTCTTCCTTTTAGTCTGAATCCTGTTAATGCAAGGAAGTAACCAAGTTTTCCTTGAAGTCTTGGTAAGAAATAACCTCCACCCACATCAGGGAATAGTCCTGTAAGTAAATATAACAAAAAGAGAATAATGATTCAAATGAAAAAGATGAATATAATCTCTTTTCTTTAGATTAAGAAGCCATTTCTTTTTGGAGTTTGAATCTATATTACAAATACTGAAAACCTTAGTACTATACCATGTCATCAATTTTACAAAAGATTTGCTATAAACTGTGCTAACTTAATTTGGATATTTTTCAAATCTTCATGTCTCACTTCTAGAGAAGTCAGTAAAGTCTTTGATGGCACAATATTTTGTATCTAAGAAGTATTCAATAATGTTACTTAAATTTTCTTACCACTAACTTATTTTTTAAGAACCTCTGAAATAGGTAAAATGTTTTTAAATATTTTCTTTCCAAATGGTAAGCATAGGAAAATACATACATATCTAAGGGCTTTTTTATTATGGGAAAATTCATTATTACCATTTAAATCATTTCTCAAACTTAGTCAATTATTTAATATTTGATATATTCAAAGATTAATAACCACTAGTCCTATTAAATGGACAAATTTATATCTAATAAAATCACTTGCATTTACACTTTCCTTAATCATCAGTATTTTTAAAATTCCCTGTCTACTGAACAATTGAAAATAGGATATGTACAAATAATTGCAGTATACTACTTTTTGATATTTAAGAGCTCCTTAAACAATTGTGACCCTCTAGTTTCACAATCCATATATCTATTCTAAGCTTGCTTCATTTAATCAAGTTGAGATAAAAATATAAGCACTCAAATTCTTTCCAGTTCTATTTGACAAAAAGTTCCTAGACTTAAAAGCAGCATGTTACTGTAAATAGAAATATCTCCTAGTACCTCAAATCAGCTAGGTCTATAGTTGAACTCATGACCTCCCTGCTCCCATCTCCCTCTAGGAACACCCACCTCAATAACGAACACACCATCCAGCCTCCACACCTTTTTCTCTCATACCATCCCCATAAACCCCATCAAAAACTACATCCAGGGGCCAGCCCAGTGGCGCACTGCTACAGTGCACCGCTTGGGAAGTGCGGCGGCGCTCCCGCCGAGGGTTCGGATCCCACATACAGACCGGCCCGCTCACTGGCTGAGCGAGGTGCGGGCGCAACACCGAGGGTTGCGATCCCGGTCCGGTACGGGTGCAACACTGAGGGTTGCGATCCGTTTCCGGTCACGAAAAAAGACAAAAAGGAAAAAAAAAACAAAAACAAAAAAAAAACTACATCCTGTTGATTACTCCTCCAAATGGTTCTCCACTGAATAGCCAGAGTAATCTATTAAAAAATAACAAATCTGGAACAGAGTCTTGCATTCAACTGCTTAAAACCCTTCCATGGCTGCCTATTTCTCTTAGATTAAAATGAGCACCTTCATCGAAGTTTTCAAGACACATGACCACTTTTTCAGTTACATCTCTTACTACTCACTCACTATACTCCAGCCACACTAGTCTTTCAGTTCCCCAACATTTTTCACCCCTTTCTGCCCCAGAGATTCAGCAGCACTCTGCCCAAGTGAAAACACCCTCCATCTCTTCCAGGGCACCACATTCTCTCCTCCCTCACCCCTGGCCTCAATGGCTGTTTCTTTCCAGTCTCCCTGGCTCCACTTTCTTTGCTTGGCCTCTAAATGTTTCTGTGCCTATGCTTGATACTAGGCTACCTCCTCTTCCCTACATACACACTCCCTATATACACATTTTAAAGCTCCTATGGCTTTAGATAGCACCCATATGCTGATTACTCCCTATTATGGACTGACTTGTGTCCCTCCAAAATTCATGTTGAAGCCCTAACCCCCAATGTGACTCTATTTGGAGATGGGACGTTTAAAGAGGTAATTAAGGTTAAAGGAGGTCAGAAGGGTAGGGCCCTAATCCAACAGGACTAGTGTCCTTATAAGAACAAGAGACACCAGAGATGTATGCAAACAGAGAAAGGCCATGTGAGGACACAGCAAGAAGGCAGCCATATACAAGCCATGGAGAGAGGCCTTAGGAGAAATCAAAGCTGCTGACACCTCGGACTTGGACTTTCAGCCTCCAAAACTGTGAGAAATAAATTTCTGTTGTTTAAGCCACCTTGTCTGCAGTATTTTGTTATGGCAGCCATAGCAGACTAATATACTCCTGAATCTAGTTATGCCTTCTCCTTTGAATACCAAAGTCTTAGATCTGCCTTCTAGACATAATCACATGGATAATAAGCATCTCATATATAACATGGCAAAACACAGCTCTTGATTCACATCCCTCCAATTACACTGCTTATTCCCTAATTGGCCTCATCCATCTAGTAACACAGGCTAAATACCTTGGAGTTATTCCCAATTCATCATATCAGCAAGCCAGTTAACCCCCAAACATTTTTCCAATCTATTCAACTCTATTTATCTCTATACCTCCACACTACTCCAAGCCAAAAATCTCCTCTCTCTAGACCTGTGCTGTCCAATAGAATCTTCTGCAACAATGAAAATGTTCTATAATTTGTTCCGTCCAATAGGTAGCCACTAGCCATATGAGGCTGTTAAAGACTTGAAATGTGGCTGGTGCAACTGAGGAACTGACTTTATTTTATTTAAACTTAACTAATTTATACTTAAATTTAAATAGCCACATGTGGCTAGTGACTACAGGACCAGAGAGTATAGCTCTAGACTAACATAATGACCTAACAAATCTCACTGCTTCCACTCTGGCACCTCCGTATAATCTATTATCCTGAAAACAGCCAGAATGATGGTATTAAAATGTAAATCAGATCATGTCACTCCCTGTTTTAAACTCTCCCACAGCTTCCCATCATATTTAGTTTCAAATCCAAACTCTTCACCAGAGGCCCCTGGTTACCTCTTCAAGAGCCCCCATGTACCCCTTCAAGAGCATATTAGATCACTCCTGCCCTTGATTCAGACACGGTTGCCTCCATTTGGTTCCTTGAAGAGATGAAATTCATTCTGACCTTAGGGTCTCTGAACTATTCTCAACACCACAATATTCTACTCTCACATCTTAATACAGCTGGCTCCTTGTCTTTCAAATCTCAGCTTAAAGAACATCTCCTTGCAAAGCCTCTTAAACCACCCAGGCTAAAGTCCACCTGGGAGACTTACACTTTGAACAAGATAGAGTAACAGGGACCAGATTTACCTCCCTACCTGAAACAACTATAAAAACAGACACAACATATGAAATAACAGTGTTTTCAACACACTGGATCTCAGGCAACGAAGGAAAGCAATCTCTGATATTAGAAAACGAAAAGGTAAACCCTAAAATAGCTCCAGCTTAATGCCTTGAGAGAGTTTCCAGGACCAGCATAGTCCCTCATTTTAGATGAAGCTTAGAGTCCAGGGAGACGAAGGCAGCTAGAATTCCCAGAACAAAGTACCAAAGAGGAAAGAGCTGCAAAGAGAGAGAGCTCTGCAGATCTGTAGGAGGTCTCCTGTAAGTATTTAGCTTACGACCTGTCAATACACGTGTGTGAGAAAACTACCTGAGGCTAAGAAAAGAAGCCCACAGGGAAGGATTACAGAGAACAGTACTGTAAACCAACATAGGGCTGAGAACAGTGCCTGTTCCCACCAGCCAGACTAGAAAAATGCATGATGCATGGTACGTTAGGTAAATATAAAGGATATTGCTTTAGTAGTGTGAAATAAATAGCCCTAGTCTGAGCACTTCTTCAATCCTGCATTTTTTAAAAAAACACAAAATTTGAAACATCTGAAAAGGTCAAACTATTTCCAAGTAACTTAAATGCATCCCAGAAGAAAGCAAGAATATTTATAAAAATACAAAAACATCCATCACACAATAAGGTAACGTTTACAATGTCTAGAATCTAATCTAAAATTACCAGCCATCTAAACAGCCAGAAAATACCCATAATGAGATGATAAAAAAATCAATCAAAATTGACTCAGAACTGACATAAACGTAAGAATTAGCAGATAAGGACATTAACACAGTTATTATAAACATATCCCATATGTTCAAAAAGTAGAGACATAGAGGATACAAAAAAAACAAACAAACCCATATTATACTTCTAGAGATGAATACTGAGATGAATGTATGAACTGAAAAATACCTGGATGGGATTAAGGGTAGATTAGGCTTTGTAGAAGAAAAGATTAATGAACTTGAAGACACAAGAATAGAAACCATATAACATTAAAAAGAGAAAAGAAAACTTAAAAAAATGAACAAAGCAGGAGTGAGCTAATATAAGTTTAAATGGAGTCCCTGAAAAGGGGTGAATGGAAAAAAAATATTTGAAAAAATATTCCAAATTTTGCAGAAACTGTCAACTTAAGTAGCTCAATAAATGCAAGCATCAGAAATATGAAGAAAACTACACCAAGGCACATCATAATAAAAAAAACCCCAAACACGTAATCAACAGAAAATCTTAACAGCAACCAGAGAAAATAAAAAGACACTTACTTACAGAGGAACAAAGATAAGAAAAGAGCAGACTTTTCATAGGAAAAATGTAAAAGTGAAGACATATTAGTATCTTTAAAGTACAGTCATCCCTCAGTATCAGTGGAGCTCAAGTCCCTGAAATAAAATGGTGTAGTATTTGATATACACATCCTCCTATATACTTTAAGTCATCTCTAGATTATTTACAACACCTAATACAATGTAAATGCTGTGTAAACAGTTGTTATATTGTATTGTTTAGGGAATAGTGACAAGAAAAAATCTACACATGTTCAGCACAAATGTAATTTTTTTTTTCCGAATATTTTCGATCCACAGTTGGTTGAATATATGGATGCAGAACCCACAGATATGAAGGGCCAACTGTACTGAAATTAAAAATCAGATAGAATAGAATTCTATAACAAGGTCTCAGACTAATGAATTCAGCTTTCACTTGATGAAACTAGAAAAAGAAGAGCAAATGAAACAAAGTAGAAGAAAGGAAGTAATAAATATCAGAGTAGAAATCAACAAAATAGAAAATAAATGAAAACAAAAACCTGGTTTTTTGAGATCAATAAAATTAATAAACCTCTAACTAAACTGATCAGGAAAAAAAGTGAGAAGACACAAATGACCAAGATCAAAAACAAGAGGTCCAGACACAACTACAGATTCTACAGATATTAAAAAGACAAGGGAATATTACGAACAACTTTATACTAATAAATTGGAAAAACTCCTTGAAAAACCCAAACTACCAAAGCTTGTACAAGAAAAAAATAGATAATTTGAATAGTCATATATCAATTAAAGAATCTGTAGTTAAAAACCTTTCCACAAAGAAAATTTCAGGCCTAGAGGGCTTCACTAGTTGGAATTCTACCAAACACTTATAGAAAAAATAATACCAATTCTACACAAACTTTTCTAGAAAATAAAGCCAACATTACCCTCATACCCAAACAAAGCAAGGACATTACAAGAAAATCACAGACCAAATCCCTCATGAACACAACTGCAAAAAGTCCAAATAAAACTTTAGTAAATCAAAGCCAACAATACCAATATAACCAATATAAAAACAGTAACACATGAGGGAGATTTCTCCTAATAATGCAGGGTTGGTTTAATGTTGAAAAACCAATCAAAGTAATTCACCATTAACACGCTAAAAGAGACAAACCAATGATCATCTCCATATATGCAGAAAAAAATTTTAAAATTCAAAATCCATTTCTAGTAAAAAACAAAACAAAACAAAACTCCTCAGCGGTCCAGGAATAGAAAGAAACTTCCTAACCCTAATAAAGAGCACCTATGAAAAAGCTATGAAAGATTGAATGCGTTCCCCCCTAAAATGAGGAACAAGGAAAAAATGTCCACTTTCATCACTTCTGTTCAACATTGTATTGGAAGTTCTACCCAGTACAGTAAGGCAAGAAAAAGAAATAAAAGGTATCAGATTAGAAAGGAAAAAGTAAGATTGAACTTTTTTTTTTTTTTTTGGCAGCTGGCCTGTACAGGGATCCAAACCTTTGACCTTGGTATTACAACACTATGCTCTAACCAACTAAGCTAACCGGCCAGCCCTAAAACTGACCTTATTTGTAAATGACATGCCTCTATTTAGAAAATCCAGTGGAATCTGCAAAATAAACACTAATAAGTGAGTTTAGCAAGTTTGCAGGCTATAAAGTCAATAGAAAAATCAATTGTATTTCTATATACTAGCAACTAACAAGCAGAACTAAAAATTTTTTTTAAAAATCATTTACTATATCATCAAACAATATAAAATACAGATAAATCTGACAAAAGATATATAGGACCTATACACTGAAAGCTACAAAACTTTACCTGAAAGAAATTAAAGACAACTTAAATGGAGAAATATACCTTGCTCATAGGTCTGAAGACTTAATATTAAGATGTCAATTCTCCCTAAAATGATCTATAGGTTCTAGAGAAATCAAATCAAAATCTGGTTACAGGTGTGATGGCTTCAAGGTTACTTTGCGGAGCTGGAGCATTCGCTGCACAGGCCCTGAGGGCCCGCGGTCCCAGTAGGGCAGCCACAGTATGCTCCACAGCGTCAGAAGGTGGTGTTCTGACTGATGACAAACAAGCAATTGGGCTGAAGAGGGAGAAGAGGGAGCTCATGATGGCTGTGCAGAAGGGACTAGACCCATACAATATATTACCCTCAAAGGCAGCTTCAGGCACCAGAGAAGACCCTAATTTAGTCCCCTCCATCACCAACAAGAGAAGAGTGGGCTGCATCTGTAAAGAGGACAATAGTAGTCATCTGGTTCTGGCTGCACAAAGGCAATACCCAGCAATGCCCTAACTGTGGAATTCATTACAAGCTGGTGCCCCACCAGTTGGCCCATTGAGCCCCTGCACTAACTTACTCAAAATGTGCTATGAAGTGTCCTCTTTACAAAAAAGACTAGCCATTGCATTGGCTTCTTCTCCCGTCTAAAAGAAAAATCAAAATCCCAGGCTTTTTTGTTGACAAACTCACTCTAAAATTTATATAGAAACACAAAGAATCTATATAGCCAAAACAACTTGGGGGGAAAAGAGAATGAGTTGGAAGATTATAACTACCTGATTTGAAGACTTATTATAAGGCAACAGTAATCAAGATAACATGGTGTTGGCACCAAGATCAACAAATACAGACAACTGACAAAGGTACAAAGGCAATTCAATGGACACTCAATAGACTTTTCAACAACTGGTGCTGGAATGATTGTATTTCCATATACAAAATCATAAACTTTGATCTATGCCTTTGATTCATATGTTATACCATATATAAAAATTAACTCAAAATGGGTCACAGATCTAAATGCAAGAATATTCCCTTAATAACCTTTAATTTAAAATTAACTACAGTGTGATAGTATCTCCAATTAAATATTCTTCTTTTGTATTTTCAGATAAAATTATTGAGCTTTTAGGTATCTTCCTGTTTAACTTCTTTTTTGTTTAATTTCTTTCAAAAAACTTTTTCATTGTTGTATCCCTTGCAACAATTGATAGAATCCCTTGCAAGATTCTATCAATTCCTTCATCATAGTTGCAATGGATTGATTGAATTGTATCACCCAAAGTCTATACATTAAAGCTTAATCCCCACTGTAACTGTTGATGGTGGGAAATCCAATTATGGTAATTGAAAGGTGCGGCCTTGAAGAGGTGATTACATTGTTGAACCATGCCATAGTGAATGGATTAATAATGGTGGTCATGAGTGTGGTTCTGAGGGCTTTAAAAGGAGAGCCATGTGAGAGTCTCTCTCTCTCTCTGCTCTGCCATTTTCTGCCACGTGGGACCCCTGAATCACTCGCCACCACCAAGGCCTTCACCAAATGTGTTCCCTGGACTTTGGACTTCCCAGCCTCTGAAAATGTAAGCAATAAATTTCATTTTCTTCATAAATCACCCAGTTTCAGCAATTTTGTTATAAGCAACAGACATGGACTAATACAATAGTATAATGTAAAATGTATCAAAAGATGATTCTAAAAGTAATTATGAAAAATTTCTGTTTTTTTTACCTATTCTTGTTTCTGGCATTGCAAAAAGAGACGTTTCAGTAGCCACTCGGAATTGTCCATGAATTGAGAGACCAACTCCCTAGGGAAATAATACAAAAAATTTGGTTTGAAAAAACATAAATTCACATGTTCACAACCATTACAAAGCAAGTAAATTTTCTTTATATTCCACAGGCATTTGTTTCAAACAATTTAAGATGAACTTACTGGATAAAATATATGGGAATCCCTGATATCCAAAATAAATTTGTTTTGGCTAAAATGTTTTTAATCAGTATTCTATGATTTGCTTCATGTCCTCTTCACCAATGCCCTCTCATTTCAAAATGGACGCAGCATTATAGAATACTGACTCTTCCAAGAACCACTGAGTGTTTCTTGTTAGTGCTGCCAACAATCAGAAAGGCACTAGCAAATTTCAGTAGTTTTGAAGATAATATTAACACATTTTATTCATTTACATATTTCATCAAATAAGATTAGCAACACTATTTTTCTCAGATATGACATTAAATAGGGCCAATTATATAACTTAAAAATTGGTCACTTTCAGAAAAAAAAACACTTTCAGAAAATAAAAAGATTTGGCTGAAAGTCCCTATCCCTGACTTGCTGAACGTCACTGAAAAGGGCAAACAACAGTCATCTTTGAACACCACACATATCTGAATAAGATTAAATGAGAGAGACACATGATGACAAAGCATTCAAGTTTATGTCAGTTTTTCACATTGTAACATATATTTCCTCTTTTCACATTACTCAGAACTTCTATTTGATTGTTTATGTTTTTCTCACTTTGTTCACTTCAATCAGTTTACTCCATCTTTGACGTCACACAGTTAAATGAGTTAAAACATGTAAGGTATCTGGAACAATGACAGGCACTTAAGAGTTCTGTAAGTGTTAGCTAAATAAAAAAGGGCCTCATTTCTACCTGATTCTTTTAATTTTCCATTACAATTTCCTCAATTCCTTTACATGTTTTCACACTCAGTTCAACCATTTACAAGGGTACTTCAAAAAGTTCACAGGAAGATTCATATTATCTTTTCACCCTACTTGTCCCAAACTTTTTGAGGTATCCTCATATAAGTTCTTAAAACTTTTAAGCCTTTCATTAAGAAAACACTCAGAAATACATGCACTTTCTTATGAACTTTGTGTACTATATGCTAAGCTTAAAATTTAAAAGATCATATCCATAAACATGGAAATGAACATTCTGCAGTCACTACCTACTTGCTTTGGTGTCAACATTTATAAATTATATCCACAATGTTAGATACACTCTGTATAGTCAAATATGATTATTTATGTTATAGGTATGCAATTAGGACATATTCAACCAACACTATTAACCCAAATTAGACTGCATACTCTTCAAGACTATATGAAATCTTACAAATTCTCATAAAAATAAAACACTAGTCATATTAATATAATTTCTTGTATGACTTTAAGAGCCTTTGCCTTATATTCTACTGTCCACTTTTAGTTTATCACATTATAACTAAAAGTGACTAGTGTTCAGGAATGTGTTGCTAAGAATTTTAAAAGTAAGGGCTGGACTGGATTAACCGTTTTCAGACTATGGTCTATTGAGCCCTAGGACTGAGAAGAGCTGCCTCAGTCTGGAGCTACCCAGCAGGTAGATCTCCAGGCCTCATTGGCTGACCCAGCCTCAACCATAACTTCTCTACCTATTGCCCTACCCCTTGTAAATAACTTTGAATTCCACAAATAACACAAGACTATATTCCCCTTTATTAAATATTTATATATAAAGGTAAAGTCTGAACACGAGTCTATTTTCCCTTTTAGGGCTTTCCACTTTTTTACAAGATGAGTCATTTTTAAATGTATGAAAATATCACATCAGTAGAGTTATTTTAGACAGGCAGAGGTTTGTTCCTTTCATTTCTCAGTTTTAGTACTAGTGTCATATAGTGTGCTATGGAACTCACTGGATAATTCAGTTCAGCTTCATACTGTTTTAAAGTGAGTTTTAGACAAGTGCTTATAAAGTATCTTTCACAGTTTATTACAGTCAATAAAATTATTTTCAGAATCTGACCCCAGTGATCTTAAGAGGGTGAAAAGCTGAACAGAGTTTTCAATGGACTGAGCTAAGCCCTATCTGCTAAAGAAGCAAAAACTGGAATTTAGAGCTTCCCAAATTGGGCCCTAAAGTCTATACCCTAGGAGTTAGGGCGGCCTGGATTCAGAGTGAAGCCCAGCTTCAAATCTTCCCATTTCTGACTAGACTGAGATGAGCTGGGAATGTTAGTACCCACAACCTAAACATCTACCAGGAAGATGTCATCCTAGGGCTCAAGTAATCTCTACATTTTTAATCCTCAATTACAAATAACTAAATTAAAAATAATCCAACATATGAGAAAAGACCACATGACTAAAACCAAAGAGAAACAATATACAATAGAAAGAGATTCACAGGACATTCAAATTTAGATGTTATATGTAACCATTCTACAATTATAAAATGTTCCATTTTTGACTAAAATTTTTGCCAAAAAATGTACCTCATTTGGTAATAAAACAGCTATACCAGCTTTCTTTTAGTATTTCTTATAGTGTTCTTACAGTATTTCTTTTAGTATTAGTATGCCTTCTTTTTCTTTCTTTTACATTTAATCCGTCTGTACCTTACACAGATGCTGCCCTAAGCACTCTGGCAGTCTTTGTTTTTTGATTGGATTATTATTAAACAATCATCTTTGTATAGTAACATAACCTACTATAAAGAATATTATATGAACAAGCATAAATAACAGGTGAACAAAAATGGAACAAGTATACAAATGCAGTCAAACTCATACTCTGTCACCATAACAATGAGCAACATACTTATTTAAATTTTTGGCAGCCTTAAAGGTAAAAATTAGGTAATCTAAGACTTTTTCTTAAAATTAAGAGACATAGATGAATTTCAGACTGTTACAACATCAGGGAAAAGCTGGCATAGTTTTAAGGGTTTTAAAGAAGATCTAATTACAATTTTTTTAAGAGGGTCAATTAAATCCTTCAAATATGTTAATCAGGAACTAGGAATAAGCATTAACTTGCATATTTCCAGATATTACTATTCTAGACAAAAGGCAATATTAATTTTTAAAAACTAATCATTATAAAGATATTTAAAGTTAATTTAAGACATAGTCAAGCACACATGATTTATATTGATGGCAAAATTAATCCCCCAACACACAAACATGGACACAAATAAACAACTAAATTTGGTGCTTGAAAAGTAGATGTTACAAAGTAAACAGAGCTGATAATCACAGTTAAGAAAACAAGAAACTGGAAAAGACATACAATAGGGTGATGTGACTAACACTTACACAAAGGGTCATGGATTTAAATTCTAATCAGAGAGCATGAGTAAGCTCCTGTCCAGAATGAACACCGCATCACAGTATTGGAGAGTATGTGAGAGTTTTCTCTTACCATCACTCAAGAGTATAAATGATGCTCTGAAAGAGGTGTAGACACTTGCTTTCACTATGGTATAAAGTGAGTATCATAACTATAAAAAGTTTCATAATGTATCTCTGGGACCATTAGCATTAGATTAACAGTCAGATCGGCTGACTGCACAGTAAAAACAAAGACTTTCTATTATGCTTCTCACATTAAAGTTAATATATTAATAAGCTACTGTTGCAAATTAACGTACAATATATTGATTATAATAATAATATATTTTAAGAGACTAATATACATAGGCCAGCCAGATAGTTTTTATCGTGCTATCAAATACATACAATTCATGTTATTTTTAGACAAAAATGATATTCAACAACAACAAACAATTGAGGAAAAAACATTGAACCTATTTATGTATTAACAGTCTACCATTCTTGGAGGTATAGTTTCACTTACAATTTGTTATTCAATACACACATATATAATTATCTAATCAGAATAGTTAGCATATCTATCACTTAAACATTTATCATTCCTTTGTGGTTATAACATTCAAGATCCTCTTTTCTGGCTATCTTGAAATACACAATACAATATTAGGTATTGTCACCTTAGGGCACCAGAACTTATTCTTCCTATCTAACTATAACTTTGTAATTTTGTACCAATCCACCAACCTTTTCCCAGCCTCCCTGCTAGTTTTACCTTAAATAAAAAAAGCCAAGCAGTAAAAAATATGATTTCTGGTACAACATCATACATTAAAATATATATTTGAAATAAGTCTTAAAAATACATATCTCCAAGATTCATACTCATGGTTTTTACCTCCATGAGCACATTCCCCCAATATATGCATATTTATTTATGAATTATGTTTGTACATGGGTCACTAGACTAATGTATTTCAGTAATATATATTTAATAAAAGTTTAAAGGGAGAAGTTCTAAGAAACCACTGCCTTATATCATATACTCAAACGAGAAGGATTATTATAGTAGGAGTATTCCTGACTAACCTCTGATTTACAAAGGATTTCCATTAACTCAGTAAAATATATTAATTGATGTTCACAGCATCCTGATAGCTACTTTCTGGTATACTTCTCTCTAACCTGTTAATGTTTTACCAAATGTCAGTCATATTTTTTTCCAATCTGTTTATGCTAGTTGTACTTGTTAAAGTATGCACATTAAACACTATTAATATATAAACTATATATTTAAATATATAAAATTATAATATATAAACACTATTAATATATATTAATATATAATATAGAACACTATTAATATATAATATATAACATATAAACTCATTTGATATGAGTATAAAAATGAAGAGTTGTTCTGTGAAAACCAGCTTGAATATTTTGTAAAAATATAAAAAAGCTAAGTCATTAAAATATGAGATAGTACAAACAGAGCAATTATTTCAAGTATATTCTTAGTAATAACATTGGTCCTGTTACTCTGAAATCATTATATACATTAAGATAAAGCAAATTTGTAACAATGTTAATGTCATTTTAAAAAGATTTTCAACATAAGAAAAAAGACAATTATTAAAGAAATAAAAACTTAAATTTGATTAAGAAATACTGAACTCAGGATTTATTTTCTCTT